ACTCTCCCAGAGCACTCATCAGTACTGTTAACCAACCGCACTGCCAAGCTCCCTGTGAAGTAAACAAAAAATATAGCCACAGGTATATAAGAATATTCTTCTTTAAACTGTGACGTACTTAGGTATATTATACATTATTTAAATTCAGAAGACAATATCTTAAAAAGTAAGAAAAAGAAGAAGAAGAAGCAGAAGAAGAAGCTGCCAAAATTACATTTTGGCATTTTATTTTTGCTTCTTCTTACCTGTGCAGGAAACACCGGCAACTACAGTTGTGTCACAGGTTCTGTCCAGACCTGGTCTTTGTGGACACTGATTCAATGTAGGCTCCTTTCCATTGCATTCAATTTGATCATTCCAGGTCTGTCCTGTACCAGGGCCAAGCTGAATAAGCTTATGACGCCTCCCACAGTCCAACTGTCTGCACACCACTGCTGCATCATTCATGTCCCAGGATTCAGCACACACAGTCCCCCACTGGCCTTTGTCATAAATCTCTACTCTTCCATCACAACGAGTGGATCCACCGGTTAATCTCACGTTTCCTGGAAATGATATCTGTTATATCAATGTACATGAAATACAACTTGACACACACACAACTGTATATAGTGAACTGTATGACTTTTTTGTTTTGTTTTGAACTAGGGATGTACTGCTGGCTGATTAAGTGGTTAATATTTTTGTGTTGCATCACATTAATTTCGTGCTGGATCCAAACAGCAGTGGACAGTCCAAGCACGTAAAACATCTTTTATGCTGAAAATGTAGCCATACTGTAATATATCAACATGTATGTGATATCTGTAGAAGTTGGTCCAATGGAAATGACAGTTGAGAGAGGAACTCTATGAATGAGTGTGCTTGTTTGATACGAGGAGGACCCGTGGTTAATGGGCTTCTAAAATTTCATTTATGTTTACAGACATTACAGTTATCTTTATGCTTGGCTAGAGAGGCTAAATCCTTTTTTTTTGGCTTGTGGTTGCCATGCTGTATCCATTCTTCTGACTGGTAGTTGTCAATAAAGCCAGTCAAAAGCCAGAGTGATGCTATTGGTATTATTGATATATGACATTAATTTTGTATATACACAGTGTCTTAGTGTTTGATTATTTTAGTGACTGTGAGTGTGAAATCTTGATATTTTTGCTTCATGTCTGAGTAAGATGAATTTTTGTGTGGTATGTCGGGACTAAGCCTACTGAGCTTTTGACAGTATACGCAAAAACATAGCACACCTTAAAAACTCAGTATACAAGACTGTTGGAAAGTCTTAGGTTTTGTGCCTTCTAATCTAACCTTTTAGTTGAACATAGTTTCCATATTTATTCTAGATATTCCATATCTAGATTGGTACCTGACAAATCACCGCTTGGGGTTTCATTGCATAATTATAAATCTGGTGTTTTGCATGAACACGGTGTTTCAAAAAATCACTGGTCTTTTTTCTAAAGTTAGTCCAGTTTTCTGCATTTGTTCATGTAACTTGAAGCCCTTGTACCAATATTTAAAGGTCATGTGAAAGGGCCAGAAACAATTTCCATCTTAGTTTTTTTTAAAGAAGAATATAATGGATTCATTTTCTTTTTGAAAGTCTAATTTCAATTTGACATCAGACTTTACCTGAGCATACCACAGAGGCATCTTCAGTACCATCGGTTATAGATCTGGTATGGTCTCTAAACGTGCACTGCGTGAGAGAACTCTCTCTGCCGTTACAGCGAATCTCGTACCCTCTCAGAGCTCGACCTTTACCAAATGACTCTGAGATCTTGACAGGATCTCCACAGTTCATCTCTCTGCACACCACAGCAGCTTCATTCATTCCCCAGTTAACATTAAATGCTTGTGACCAGTGTTCCCCATGGTGGACCTCCACTCTTCCTGAGCACATGTCAGTCCCATTGATTAGTCGAATGGCAGCTACAAAGCACAGTAGACAAAAAATATCAGCAATTCGTTGGTGTTCATCTGAAAGAAATGTATTAATTGAAGCTCCATCTGATATTGGTGTTGTAGAAATAACTGCTATGTAATCAATAACTGAACATATTTTGGAGTACATAGTAAAAAAAAAAAAAAAGAAAGAAATATCCAAAGAAAATGCTACATCCAGAACTTTTTGGGATCTAAAGGTAAAAAATAAAAAAAGACACTTTGTGAAATGAAACATCAATAGTTTGTACCTGAACAAATCACTCCTGCATCTTCACCATGACCACAGTTATTCTCTCCAAAGGAGCGATGACTGCATTGCCCAAGAGACGTCTCATTACCCAGACAGTTGACATTATCCAGCCAGATCACTCCTTGTCCTTCACCAAAGAAGGCACCAAGTTTAACTCTCTGAGGTGTTCCACAGTCTATGGCTCTGCACACCACCTCAGCAACTCTGAAGTCCCATTCATCATCACACACTGTTCCCCAGTGGCCGTCATGCAGAATCTCCACTCGGCCAGAGCATCGGTCAATGCCGTTCACAAGCCTTAGCGGTGGTTGACCTGAGGGCACACATTAAACAAATAACAATAAATATTATAAGCTGTTGCTTTTTTGGGGGGGTTTTTCTTAAGGTTGTCATCAATTTTAAAATTTGTTGTAACAGATTTTTTTTATTTATTCATTTTTGGCATCTTGGGGACAGCAGAAACTAGCTTTACAGCAACATGTTGTGTAGCTTCATATTTATCCATCATACATGAGCAGTCTGAGCAACCTAAGAGCAGACTACATGGCCAAGAGACTGATTCAGGAATCAGTGTTGGCAATGGGGGTAGAATTCAAAGATTAAGAAGTGTTACCCAATACTTTTCACCATTTAGTGTATATCATGTAACAATCAGAGTTTGTGGATATAAAGGAGATGTTAATGTCTTGAAACAGAATGCTTTTATAACAAGCTCTAGGTGCATAAAGGCAAAAAACAGGTCATTTTAGTCCATTGCTAGTTGGTTCCAGCCTGATGGTGTCATAATGTCAGGAGTAACTGAGGTTGCGTAGATATAAATTACCTATTACTGTGGTGAAATAAAACGATACCTGTTGCAGGCAGACAAACATTAAAAATAGGTCATTTTAACATGTTGCTAGGTGGTTGCTAGGTTACATAGTGATATAATAATATCTGATATAGATAAGAAACTTCAAAGTCTTAAGCTATGCCATTTTTAGTTGCTCAGCTCCTAATTGTAAAGAAGTAGTTGGTGGACAACAAAAGAGACAGAAACACAGAGAATGCAGAAATGACTTTATGAAGCCTTTGTAAAAAGTTAAAGTGCAAAACTGTAACCCATTCTATTGTCTTTAACTTGTGAGTGTCTGTCAGTAGACTGAGCCTTCAGGATTTTAGTTTAAATGCTTTTGATGAGCCTCAGACCTTTAAACACATTCACAAGTACATATTAAGTGAAAGAAATACTCCACAGAGCCAACCTTTTCTTTTAAAAGTTGTCCAAACATGACATTTGCTATTTTTGGAAAGCAGGATTGCAGCTTTTACCTGCACATGCGAGAGAAACACCTTCACATGGTCCTGTGTGTTCTTGAAGTTGACACTGGCTGATAGAGTTCACATTACCAGAGCATCTACTTGTGAGCCCTCGCAGTGAGCTGTCACCAAAGTAGAAGGTGTCTTTGGAATTTTTTGGGGCTCCACAGTTGAGCTCCTTGCATATGACTGTAGCTTCTTTAAGACCCCAGTTATTACTACAAAGTTTCCCCCATCGGCCATCGTGGAAAACCTCCACTCTGCCAGAACAAGCGTCACTCCCATTTATCAATCTGACTGTCTCTGCAAAGCAAAATTTGGCATCATTAGGATTGTCATTAAAACTCAGTTTTGAGAAACAAACAGAACAGAGCCTGTGTTACCTGAGCACACAAGACCAGCATCTTCATTGTGGTCACAGTCATGTTCTTCAAAATCTTTGTGAGGGCAGTCAGCGAGTAACATTTCATGACCAGTGCACTCCATCTCATCCAACCAAACCTGATCCTGGCCTCTCCCAAAGTAAGCCTTGTACTTGACTGAGAGAACATTCCCACAGTTCATCTCTCGACAAGCTACAGCTGCATCTTGCATCCCCCATTTGTCATCACAAACTGTTCCCCATTGTCCTTTATAGTAGATTTCCACTCTACCAGAGCAGCGATTAGTCCCATTCACCAGCCGAATGGGTTGACTGTCTGTTAAGAAAAGTTAAGGGCATGGTTTTTCTTTCAGAAAGGGACAATCTAACAGTGTCAGTTTTACTGGCCATGTACAACTTACTTGCACAGACAACAGTAGCATCAACACAGCTTTCTCTGAAATCTTTAAGTTTGCACTGTGAGATTGAGTTCTCATTTCCAGAGCAAGTGGTTTTGATGGCAGACAGTTCACGTGCTTCTCCAAAATATGGTGTTTCATTCTGACCGAGAGGATCGCCGCAGCCGGCTTCTCTGCACGCCACCTGAGCTGCTTCCTTGCCCCAGTCATTGCAAATTCTTTTCCACTGACCCTTGTGGTAGACTTCCACTCTGCCATTACAACGAGTGGTTCCTTTCTCAAAGCGCACATGTTCTGCAAATGATGGGGATATTAAATGTAATAAAATAATAATATGTTTCATAAATAATAATACAATCAGCCAGTGTGTCTGTATTTCCCATAGTCTATATACAATAATACTACTAATTAGGGATGGGTAT